CTATGTGCCCAGGCCATCACCCAATTCAGTTGACTTCATCTAAATAGCTGTCTATTCTGTCCACACGTATTACTTCCATAGATAACAATAGCTGCTGGTGTATACTGGCCCTAGACAACCTGTATGGCATTATTCTACATAGTTTACAATTATGAAATAATAATACTTCGTACTACCTTATGAGGTAATGGTAAGAATGAGAATAATGAAAAAAAACCTAGAAATTGAAACATTGAGTTGACCAGATAAATATAGGAATAGGTGACAAAGGCAGCCTTAGGAGTTCATGATCACTCTGCTCCAACTAACCCACTGCAGTGATCTCCAGCCTTCCCTCCTTAGCCTATTCACATTTTCATGCATTCTGTATCTAGAAGAATTGTTGTCCAAGTCTACATAGCTCCCACAAACCTGCAGTGTATTATATTATACGTGGTATCCTTCTCTTCAACTATTGGGTTCTAATTGTCTTTGCCTTCTGTCCCTTTCTAACCCCAGGATATTTTCACAGGCTCTTTCCTCCATCTAAAAGATTCTTATCTGGTCCAGATCTAACCTGCTAATGGATCTCTATTTACCCTGCATATCATTACTTAAATATCACAATGTGTTCAACTGGAGAAACCTTCTCTCTATACTCAGACCAGTTCAATTCTAACGGCTCGCAGTGGATCTGGTTATTGTCTCAATAGATTATAAACTTCTCTAAGGCCATTTCCATACTTCATTCATTGGCTTGTCTTAAGGGAAGAACCCCGTTTTTGATTCAAGAGTCATTCTTTTATTACCACAAGTTTGGTTTCTAGGCTAAAATGTAATTTTTAAAAATTATGTGTGTGTGTGTGTGTGTGTGTGTGTCTGTGTCTGTGTATGTATGTATCACATGCATGCACAAAATGGGTGTAGGTACCCCTGAAAGCCAGAAGAGGGGATCAGGTGCTCTAGAATTAGAGATACAAGTAGTTGTTACTAGCTCTATGAGTGTCTAGAGGTCTTAGGTATGAGACCTCTAGAAGACCAGTCAGGATCTTAACCCCTAAAGTGTTTATTTTAAATCCTGGGTCTGTTCCCTAGGGAAGCACACTAATATGGAAAATAGAACATGGTCATTGGTCCACATTTCAAAGGCTGACTATACCACCAAATCTTCGGATGCATAATTTCTCTAACCAGCTTCTTCACTGTAGTGGAAGCCACATTATGAAGATTGAGAAATTCTGACAATAATATTCTAGTGACCTAGCAACTAAGGACCCTAAGATCTTTCCCAGGTACAGCTGTGTGTCCTGATGCACAAATGGCTGATATGACCACAAAAAAAATACACAGCTGAGGCCCAGCAACAGTGCCCTCTTGCCTAGGTTTGCCCCAGGCCTCGGCCTCCTTTTCTATCAATCACTTGGCTGCACATATAGAAAGATGTAAAAATGCCAGGACGAGCAAGAGGCTTCAGGTTTACTAGAGACAGAGAAAAAGAGTAGGGGCAGAATGATCACAGTGTGAGCAAAGTTTCAACTAAGTGGAGGCATGTTCATATCTCAGCTCATTCTGTATCTGATTTAAATCTCATTCTATAAAGGAAGAAGCTGAGGCTTGGTATAAAAGTAACATTTATTTCCAGATGTAATTATCATCTTGAAAGTTTAAGGCTGAATAAACTCATTCTTTCTAGTTCTTTCTGAACTATGGCTACCTAGTTCAACTCAGCTGTTCTGGCTCAAGTGCCTCTCCAAACTGACTGATTCAATCTGGCTTCTCTCAGCTTCTCACTGAATTGCTCTGTTTGGCTTCAAACTAACTCTGGCAATTTGTTCTAATCTTCTGGCTTCTTATTCTCTGGCTTCAACTCCCTCTGCTGACCTGACCTGAACTGAATGAACTCAGGAGTAAACTCAATTCCACTGCACTCTACTCACTGCACTGACTCCCAACCGTCTGACTCTCTCCCTACACTGCTCTTAAATAGCTTCTCTTTCATGTACTGTTCTTCTGTGAGTTGGGCATATTCTATCTCTGACTCTTCCTGTCAAATCTTACTCTGATTCATCACTTAGTCTGCCCTTCAGTTAGATGTGACTTTCAACCATGGCTGTTTCCTTCTACAAACTGATTTTACCTTAAAGGTGTGTACTAGGGGCATGTCTTTATTCTAGCCAGAGGGATTCAAGGTGTGTAGCATGTCTGCATACCAGCCAGATCACATAGACCTAGGTTTTTGGATGTGATGCATTGCCAAAGCAACCATGTGGTTTGATTAAAATTCCTCTACAACTTGGAAGAGGTTCATGTCTCATTCATAGTCTCAGTGCAGGTAACAAGTGAACACTGCTACCCAGGGCTTCATTTCTACACAGAATTTGTTTCTTCTACCCAGAACACTCCCTCCAAGCAGGCCTCTCTCTTTGCTCTCGGTTCTCTGTAAGTGTACACCAAAAGTTCCAATCTTGATGATTCTTCAGGGTCAACTTGACCCTGATATATATAGGAATAACTAGGTAACAGTAATATTTGAGCACACTGTGTTTCAAGATTAATGAAGCATTTGAAAATGAATTATTCATTTTTGAGTCCTTATTTTTTAAAAAAGCTACATGCTGCTTGAGTGTAAAAATTAACTCTGAATTCTAAGTGATACCAAAATGTTAGCTACAGAGGGCTTTTTTTAAAAAATATTGTTTTGCTTTTTTATGTATTAACTCATTTTTTAATGTGCTGTACTTGAATGAATTAAACATAGTCATTGCCATTCTTTAATTCTAAATCCCAAAATGAGAGGTTAGATCTAGAAAAAAGACAAGAAAAACTGTCCCTTCCCTGAGATGTTGCCCCAGACCTAGGTCTGAAGTGAGGTGAGACTTAGACATTCATGCAAGGGATTCACCAGAATTTCTCAGAATGTGATTCACACACTGTCTTGCCTGAATCTCCAGAGATGCCTGTAAGACTCCTAGCCAAAGCCTATGCATTTGAGGTCTCTGATGATGCTGTCCAGGAGCCAGGATTTTCACAAGTGCTTCTAGATCCCAAACCATCCCAAACTATGTCCTGACACTTTAAGAAGCTCAGTAAAATTTTGAGACAACTAATGATTCCAACTATTAACTTACTCACTTCAAGAATATACTAGCTGTCATATACCTTTAAGTGTTTAAATAATAAATATGAAAATAACCAGTTTATCTTAGCAACCCTAAATGTAGATCAGTCCTTATTTTAACATGAGGGAAGTCAAATGCTGAAATACATACAACATCCTCTCTTCTTAAGCCCAGGGAAGGGGCAACTTACTGTCATACACTCAGGAGGAGAGCAATAGCTAACAATCCACTGATAGGGGGTGTGGGAGGGAGTTTCAGCTGTATATCTTGACAAGCTCACCTCTGTGGTCAATTCCTGGTTAAGTTTGTCTCATGTGAGAATGGCACACTCTGCAAACTAAGAGTCTCAGCATGCTCCCAGAGGAATAGGCTCTCTGACTCAACCACTAATTGCATGTTCGGGACACTCTTATTCTTCAGTATAAACTCAAGGACCGATTAATTTTCTGATAACTTACTTCCTTTTCTTACTTATTTCCACCATTCCCCCCCCCCCAAAAAAATACTGTTGCATCAGTTACTCTATTAGAATTGAGGGGATGGGCTATTAACTCCCAAAAGAAAGCTATGAACTGAAAAGCTTCTGCAGTCTAGGTAGCATCTTCTCTGTCACTAGCCTCTCAGTGTCTGTATTTGGCTTCTCAGGACTTACACAGATAGGAGTTCACTGTAGCTGGGGATCATATCCCCAAGCATGGCATGGATATGCATGCAGGTCTCCAAGGTTACTGAAGTCTCTCCATTAGGTAAGCTCTGAGAATTTTATCACCTTGGCCACGCAACATATTGCTTCACAATGTATCAACAACAACAATATCAAATACCACAAGAAAACAAAATTGGGAGCCTGTGTGGTGGCTCAGCATGTAATGGTACTTGCCATCAAGCCTGAGGACCTGGGTTCAGTCCCTGGAATCCACATGGATTAAGGAGAGAACCAACAGAGAGAACACAATGTTCTCTTACCACACATACTACTTCGAATATGTATACACACACACACACACACACACACACACACACACACACACACACTAATGTTTTAAAAATTCTTTAAGAATATCAGGTTTGGTCACTCTCAAGTCTAAGTCATAAATTCAATCCTGTCAATGACAGTATCTTCAACTTGGCAGATCACAAACTGGTATACTTTAAGAAACAGTTAAAAATCCCCAAAATGAAATGACTTCACTTATCAATCTGGCCAGGATGTTGCTAATGTATATAGTCACCATCTGTGTGGACAAAGAAGTGTCAGACATCATAGGACACTTGTGGAAATCTAATTTTAGGGGGACGGTATAAAATCTATAATCATAGAAGGTATTTTGAACCTTAAAATGAAACAGCTTGTTTTGATTCAAATGGCTGTGTGTGTTTCTGTGTGTGTGTGTGTGTGTGTGTGTGTGTGTGTGTATAAGAGAGACAGAGACAGAGAGACAGAGAGAGACAGAGAGAGAAAGAGAAAGACAGAGACAGAGATTCTCCAGTTCTGCCCCTTCCAGCATTAAACTTGTGTAGCGTGTAGTGTTAATGCATTGTTTGATTAATGAAACCAGGTGTTTTTGTTTCTTCTACCTGATGAATTCAGCAAACAACACTAGTCAAATGATGCCCCACCCAACCCTGGTCAGCTCTGTCGCAAGAAATTCAACCACCTTTTCTAGGGATGCCTACAGTGCGATGTGTGTACTCTACTGTTCCAGGTTTCTGGGGTGTCATTATGCCCTAGTCAGGCTACAAACCTAGTGACCAGGCAATCTACATTCCTTAGAAGCCAAACACTAAAAGTTCAACTCTGGAACCACCGTGCTCGCTCTACAGGAGCGAACCCCGAATGCGCGGTGCCTGGCCAGGGTCCCTCCACCTGTCCGCGGTGCGCGCGACTCGGTGTCCACTCACTTTGCCGCTGTCGCTCACGCCGAGGAGGTGATCGCGAAGCACCTCCATGGGGCAGGTCCAGGTGGAGTGGACGAAAGTCCCTCGGAAGATGAGCGCCAGCTGCGGCGTCCGAGCCGCACACATGGCAGCAGCGGGGCAGCGCGAGTTCACTGGCCAAGGAGGGCGCACCAGGCGGGCGCAGAGCGGTCCCTGCGGCTGCGGAGCGGGTGCTGCTGGCTCTCAGGGCTCGTCCTGCCCCCGCTTCCCCAGGCGATCGCCTGCCCCCTGCAGGCCGCGCCCAGGGGCTGGCTCCCTGCCTCCTGGATGCCAATAGGATTTTTCTCCTGCGAGTTGGCTCTAGCTCAGTGGGGTGTGGTTTTCCTCCCCACCCCTGCGTTGGTTTTGGATGCGTTAACTCCTTGAGTTATCGAAATCAAGCCACTCTAACTTGCTTTCATTTTACACCTACACTGTCTTCTCTGAGCCTTCTATACTCCTAGGGCCATTCAACTCCTCAACTTGAGCACCAGATACTGAACTTGCACAAACATGGCGACAGGTGAAAGGTCACTTGGAGCTGTACACCTTGTGGTCAGTTTCTTTTCCCGAGGCTGAGGAATGCAGACTACGTGTTCATGCTTTGCTGAGGTTCTGGAAGCTTGACTTATATGAAACTTTACAGGGATTTCCACCACCAAGGGTTAACCTAGATCTCAAAGTCCTCTCTTCCACTGAGGTCAATATTTTAGTCCTTTTGCCCACCAACATACAATACCAAGACTAACTTTTCTTGTGTCTGAGGTAAATAATTTGATGTATTCAGTTGTACAAGAGGAGAAAATGACTTTCCCAGCAGCTGTGAGCTGAAGTACAAGAGTAGGAATCTAGAGACCATCTGCAAGCTACCAGTCTGAGGTCTTCAATTCCTTTCATGAAAACAGAACCTGGACCATGTCACTGCAAAAACTGTCCGGGTTCCCCAAACAACAGCCTCAGGCTCCTGTAGTTAGGTCCTGCAGGCAGGACTTTCTGGTTACCTTCAATGTGTGGATCCCAAGTTTCCTCTGCCACTCCTCACAGCAATGGGCTTCCTCTGAATCTGACCCGGGAAGCCTCTCTTCATTTGTTTGCCTTAAGTAGTAACTCTTAAGTGACTGTCCCTGCCCAAGATTAACTGCCCCCTACCCAGAAGTTCCCATTCCAGGAATCCATCCTTCTCCTGCTACTTCATTGGTCATATCCCTCTTTACGGATGTCATTTTTCCATTTGTTACCATTTCTTTTTTAAATGTTAATATTTTATTTCTTGGATGATTTTTTACAATGCATTTTGATCATATTTACTCACTACCTCACTCTTCCTCCTAATTCCTCCCAGAGGAGCAAGATGTTTGCTTCAAGACTGAGTCTTCTATATGCAGGAAAACTGCAGCCATGTGATCGAAACTATACAGTAGTCTACACGAGACCTGAACGCGAACATTAGCTGACAATCAAGCTTGGTAGTGGGAAATCCCACAGGGCCTCTCTAGATGAAGTGCTACAGGCAATTAATGAGTGCAGAGAGGGTGAGTCAGTCTTCTTCAGGGATGAGTCCTGTAATTAGTTATCTGGCACCAAATGGTCACCTCTATAAACATATCTGTATCAGCAACAATAAATGGGCTAAGTTACATTTTTACGTATGGGTACATGTAGCAGATTACGATTCTAGTACCACCCTAGAGAAGAATTTAGAGATGTAGATTGTCAACAATGACCACCACCCTTAGAAAATATTTGGAAAAATAAAGTGATTAGTGAAGCTAGGTTGAGATGTTTCTACTACTGGCTCTGATGTAGAAAAAACTTAGGGAACAATATAAACTTCAGAAAGGCACACTATTAATAGATAAGCTAGGGACCTTTTATGGTCAGGGAACAAGAACAATGGCAGCACTGGCTGACGTGACTCTGACTGAAGCTGGACTGGTGATGATTGATTTCTTATAGCCATTTTTGCCCTCCGCTTCCTGGTATGATATGTTAAGAATTGTTGATGAGTAGGTATACATTTTGAGGATTTAAGGTAGATATGACTGATTTCTATAAAAACAAAGTTTAGATTTGTGAGTCTTTTAAGACTCTTATAAGATTACTTTTTTTTTATTTATTTTTTCTCAAACAGTAATTCATTCACACAGGGGTTATAAACACAGAAAGGCAGGATGTGGGGAAGGGAATGACACTGGAGTGTGGGTGATCAGAGGGAATATAGATATCATCAGAACTGGGTATCTGCTGGGTGAAGATTCAGGGGACAAGTCACTGTGACTCTGCCTATGACTCGCTTGTCCTTATATAAGTTGGTATTATCTGCCCAGGCTACCTATTTACAAGGTCTATGACTACTCAGGCTGGTAAATTTCCACAAAAGCTGCCTGTTTACAATAGCTTATAGCCATCTGTTTCAATGTTTTTCCACAGAGACCCAAGACTTGGTGTTAGTATACATGTATGACAGGCCTATTGCTGATTTTAGGCCTATGGCTGATTTTAGGCCTTCAGTGGGTAACCAGGGCTGCCTCTGACATCTCCTCCCTTCTCTAAGTATAGAAGGGCTGTGGCAATTCTAAGTTTGCGGGGCGGGGATAAAGGCCTGACCTCCAGTATTTGAAGGGGACCTTGTAATGGCTCCAGTCCCCCTGCCGTTGTCCAGTGAGGCATGAGGGCCATACCCGTCCCGATGTCTTTTTCCTGGAGAGGGGATACTTTTGACATCAACCCTTATGCAGTCAGGACAAGATTACTTTTAAAGATAAATAATAAAATAATTACTTCTGTCTTTGTAACCTCAAATTGCTAGAAAGAGAAACTGGCTGAGAAAAAACTATCTTGCTTGCTTACACTTTGTTAATCTATATAACAAGTTGCTTGGTTATGAATGTACATGGGTTTTCTTTACCTGTAGTATATAATGTTATTTCTTGTATAGGTATTGGAAAGCACGTTGTTTTTCATAATCATTTATTAGAAGAAAACTAACACATAGTCACAATATAATTGTATACTGCTTGAAAGATTTTGCTGGGATATATAAGCTATGGAAGAAATAATAAAGTATGGTGTGGTCAGAACAGTGTTTCTCCATCCATCAACTCTGTGTATATGAATAAGGTTTGTGTGAATGGGAGTTGGAACACTGTTCCTTCTAACCACCGATTGTGTGTATTTATGCATGTATGTGTGGAATACTTGGAGCCTGCTTGCTGAAACTTTGCTCCAACCATGCGTGTGTGAATATGTATATGTCTATCTATAGGTCTATATGTATGTATGTATGTATGTATGTATGTATGTATGCCTGTATGTATATATGCATGTATATTTATGTGTATGAAGTTATTGAACTCTGACTTTTGTTTCATTCATTCAGTGTGTGTGTGTGTGTGTGTACATGTGAATTTTCTCTCTTTCCTTCTCTTTCTTACAGGTCCCAAGGAATTAAGAGTTCATAGTTTTTCCACTGGCCACAGAGTGCCAGCCCCAGTAAATTAAGCTTTGTTTCCTCAGTTAAAAAGTCTGCTGAGCAGCTTCACCAATCGATGGCTGCCTTTGGCAGCAACCCCTGTAGGTATCTTGATTCATTCCATCAGCAGCTCTAAGCACCGACACCCAATGGCTGCCTGCCTCAGTTTATCCACCATATAGTTCCACAGGCAGCCATTGGCACATATGAAGGTAAGTATTTAGAATGTAGTTTGAAATTTTACTGGCTTAGTAAAGTGGCAATAGTAGGTTCTCCTCTAGGGTATATGGCCTCCCCAGCTATGAGTACTTGGCCCAGGTCTGTAGAAGGAACTGAGATTTCTACATCTTGATCTAACTGCAGCCTGGAGAAGATTGACATCCAGGAAGCTAAGAGAAAGGTCTCAATACCCACCCCTACAGTGACACTGTTGGGGATCTGATTTGTGCTTAGTCCGCTTCAGGACCCTGCCAACAGGTTTGTTTGTTTGTTTTGGTTTTTGGGTTTTTTTGTTGTTGTTGCTGTTGTTGTTTTTGGACTGGTCAATAAAGAGTCAGAGGCCAATGGCTGGCAGGAAGATAGAGGCAGGACTTTTAGGATTCCTGGGTAAGAAATGCAGAGACAGGAAGAGGGACTCATCCATTAGGAGGGTGAAAGAGCCGGACCACACAGGGAAAAAGGACAGAAAAGAGAGCCCGCCTACATGTAAGAATCAGGGAAAGTGGCCCCAGAGGCCACTATCCCAACTGGGTCTGGGTAGCAGAGATGAAATATAGATTTAGCAAGTATTAACTCAGGAATATCGGAGGGAGTATGTAAGCCCTGTGGAGGTTCAAGAGTGGCCAAGCTATTGAGCTAGTCAAGACATTAAATACAAAGGTCGCTTGTGCACGTCATTCATTTGTAAATCCAGAGCTCTTGGGCGAGTGCAGAGTGTGCACACGAGCGTGTGTGCGCGCACACACACACACCAGAGCATACAGAGTTGTTTAAATACTTATCACA